AGTAGCAGGAAATTCACCAGTTATACCCTTAAAGACTTTCTGTTGAACTAAAACCCCTCTCATTTTTTGTTGCCAAATAGGAAAATCCTATTTTCCATTAAAAACTCCAAGTTCAAATGTTGTCATTATCATTTGAAGTTTTTAATCAACACAAAATATTTTTGAGGTCACAGTCCCACAGAAAAAACAAAGATGAAACAGATACCTCAACGCAACCAATATAGAGTCACACAACTTCTCAGTGCAAGACAAAAAAACAGGGATGAAAGTATCAACTGAAAACAGGTATACAACTAAGTGAACAGTGATAACAAGTAGTTTTAATAAGCTCAGTGAATCAACAGAAGATAAGCAGTGAGATTAAAACAGACCAACTATCACAAAAATTCACAAAGAATTAAGAAACTGAAATTGAACATACTAATAAAAAAAATACTAACAATTTCAGGTGTTAGAATTCACCAAGATTCCATGAGGCTCAAGACCTCAGGTCAAGGCTCAATCCTAACAAAAGGGAACACAATTCACAAGGAAAATCGGAAAAAAGGACAATATTCAAGATGCAGTAATAACACAGTCAAGAATTAAGGTATGTAGGGGGTTTAAGAAGTATTTCACCAAAGCTGGTTCGAAGAATCAAGCACTAAGCAGGTTCCAACAACCAGTGCCAGACAACTCGAAGTTCACCAATCCGGTTCACAAAGAATCAAGGTGCTCGCAAGAAACACAAAACAGAGACAGATTAGAGACCGAATCAGAAAGGAATAAAAAAAATTAGGGTTAGGGTTTCTGTGATTTCAAAACGAATTTATGGTATCAACTGAAAATCAATTTCCCAGTGATAAAACCATTAATCGAAGACTCCAGAACGCCTTACACACGCTCTGATACCACTTGTAAGGATTGGAGCCTCAAGAATCAACTGAAGCAGTCAAATATTCACTAAGAATAAACCAAGGATTTCACAACACCAAGTTGTATATCAAAATCATAGGGCTCAGAATTTTCACAAAGACATTGTACCCGTATGTACAAAGGATCTAGCCACAAGAACCACAAACCCTAACAAAAATGCACAAAGCAGCTACTCAATAGTACGAAACATTTCAGCACATCTAAAGCTCTTAACATTTCAATCGAACAATCCCCAAAACTCAAATCACCAAGATTTGTGATTAAAACCTTTGGTTTTAATCAAAACCACAAAGAATCAAAAGAGACGACTGAGAGAACACGAGACAGAGAACCTATAAGCTTTCCTCACACTTAGCCAAGGAAACAGAATGAATAATCACAAAGAAAATGGCTATCCATCTCTTTATATAGGTAACACCATCACCGTAGATTAGGCTGAAGATCCACGAACCAGAGCAACACACGTGGCATTAAAGTTGGGCTGGGTTTTAGGCTAATTTCCTTTGAGTTATTGGGCAATGGTTTTAATTCAAAATTCCAATAGCTTTGGGCCTAGCCCATTTTCATCATCACCCCAAACTGTTAGAAAGTAAATGTCACAAATGGCATCACAATCCAACATTTTTATTTATTTATTATCTGTGAAAACATTAAAAGAAAGAATGTCAGTGAAAGGATTCGAACCCCAATCATCTCCCATGGATTGTAAGCGCTCAACCATTTGAGCTACATTGCTTGTGCTATAACATTTATGCACTAAAGTTTATATATATTTAATATAAAATCTTCCTTTAATATTTTTTCTCGATGGATCCAGCACGGGCGGCCGCCCCGGCTCGCCAGGTGCTAGATCCGCCCTAGTTGTTACTAAATGCATGGAAGAAAAGAAAAACAAACGGCCGGACATCCAAAAGGTTGACAAAATATTGGCCATACCATTGACATTTGTCTCATCATCCAAACAAAGGAGCTTGTGAACTCTTGAGAGTTGACATAGTAGGTGCCATGACTATAATCCTCTTGATTTGCTTCTGGTACACTACAATGTACATTTAGCATTTTTCATTATAGTATCATGGTTTATTATAAAGCACCTTTGGCTAAGTTTCAAAGTCTTTTTGATGGCAGAAAACCTAAAGACTTGCCCTTGTCTCTAGGCACAACAAAAAGGAAAATAGGTCATCAAGTGGGTTCGATCTCACTCAAAAGAAACTAAGGAAATATTTGTGTTCTCATGACTAAATAAACATCGAAGGTTTGATACAATAATGGCAACACAAATTTTGTTATAGGAAATTTGAAAAGACATGTACGTGTAGGAAATTTGATCTAGACACGACTTGGATATCGTTTCAGTATGAAATACACTCTGATTTTCGTAACGATATAGACATCGTTCCTGTAATAAAAAACGACTTTAATATCGCTTCCATATGAAATAGCTTCACTGATTTTCGTAACGATATTGAAATCGTTTCCGTAACAAAAAAAGACTTGGATATCGTTTCAGTAGGAAATACACGCTGATTTTCATAACGATATGGACATCGTTCCTGTAATAAAAAATGACTTCAATATCGTTTCCGTATGAAATACACACTGTCTTACTAATTTTCGTAACGATATTGAAATCGTCCATTTAACAAAAAAAACGACTTGGATATCGTTTCGGTATGAAATACACACTGATTTTCGTAACGATATGGACGTCATTCCTGTAATCAAAAATGACTTTAATGTCGTTTCCGTGTAAAATACAAAATACTTCACTGAGTTTCATAACGATGTTGAAATCATTCCCCGTAACAAAGTAACGAATTCCATATCGTTCCAGTATAAATTTG